CATTCCATCTTGCAACCTTCTTCTTTTACTTAGCAAGTAGGGGAAGCAGATTATATAAAATGATCCAGCAATCTGTTGCCTTGATCGCCTATTAATTAGAAGGCAAATCATACAAGCTTGATGATTGAGTACAAAATTCTGATGTTGGGTAACAAAACCATAATAGGGAAGGGATTTGGTAGAAAGTGAGGAGTATCACCTTTAGAGGCAAGATTTTACTATAGGTAAAACTTGCAAGTTACTGAATGTGTTGTCTCCTTTGTCAGCTCTATGAGCTCCTTTATTCATATACATTTACCTTGAATACTAAATCTGAAAGAATGTCAGTAACAGCTAAAGCCTTGATTAGGATTGCATTTGTTATGTATGCTTTCAATTCGTTTAAATTCAAGCCCTGGTCTATAGAGTTATAAACCAATCCCCAAACTACTGCCACACGCCGACTCTCCTAGAATTGCCTTATTTTGCATTAGTAATTTTCTAAAGCTAAGATGGGATCATCCATTGTTGATACTTCTGTGCACAGTCACCAGCCTGCTACTGAGGAGCCACCCCCCCCCTCCCAAAAGTGTGGATGTTGGGGTGAGGTGTGTGAACACTAATATGGGCCCAATCGGGTTTCTTAAACCCATTTGGGCCCACTTAAAAGTCATGTTTGGAACTGCCCTAAGATTAAATTTTGCAGGAACAGAAATATGCATGATTCCAGTTACTTCTTCACTCTGCCTGGATCTTGCCAAGCACTGATTAGAATATGCCACATTTCCTAACTGCAAGATAGATTACTCTGCTGACAACACCAAAACCAGAAGAACTTGTCTGGCCCTCCACATCAACTTCACTTCTACCTGAGTTTGGAATCATGTCTCATCACATCATCTTAAGTAAACAAAAACTCATGTTTGTTAATGCACATTGCATGTTTTGATTCTCTCTCACAGTAACCATGCAACCTACAGCTGATTCAGCAGTGTGTCTTATTGTACTCAGTTCAGTTTACTTCCAAGTAATACTCAGATATCCTACTGCTTCCATTGGCACTGTTGCCTAGTAAGTGCACTCTGCCCACAATGAACTTCATGTGCGGGACAGCATTTGCAGTTTGATTACGTATTTGTTTTAAAGTATGTTGGAATCTGCTTTATGAGAGTTTTGCCCCAAGAAGCAGGGTACAAATGTAGTAAATGGTAGTAGCAATGGTAGGGGAAGGCAGGCAGAAAATCAGCCCTATTTGTAATAAAAGATGCATTTCATAATTCATAACAAAGGATTAAACAAGGAGTGAAAATTCAAGATGCTTCCAGAGTACAGGTATTAGTATAATGGGCCCTTGTTATCTGCTGGGGTTTGGTTCCAAGTGCCCTGTGGATACCAAAATCTGTGGGTGCTCAAGCTCTATTATATAAAGTGACACAGTAAAACCGTATCCCTTATATAAAATAGCAAGATCAATATTATTTTAATGTATTGTCGAAGGCTTTCATGGCCGGAATCACTGGGTTGTTGTAGGTTTTTCCGGGCTATATGGCCATGTTCTGGAGGCAATTTTTCTCCTGACGTTTCACCTGCATCTATGGCAAGCATCCTCTGAGGTAGTGAGGTCTGTTGGAAGTAGGAAAATGGGTTTATATATCTGTGGAATGACCAGGGTGAGACAAAGGACTTTTGTCTGCTGGAGCTAGGTGTGAATGTTTCAGCTGATCACCTTGATTAGCATTCAATGGCTTGGAAGTGCCTGGGGGGAATCTTTTGTTGAGAGTGATTTTATGTGCCTGTTTGTTTCCCCTCTGTTGTTTTGCTGTTGTAATTTTTGAGTTTTTTAATACTGGTAGCCAGATTTTGTTCATTTTCATGGTTTCTTCCTTTCTGTTGAAATTGTCCACATGCTTGTGGATTTCAGTGGCTTCTCTGTGTAGTCTGACATGGTGGTTGTGAGAGTGGTCCAGCACTTCTGTGTTCTCAAATAATATGCTGTGTCCAGCTTTAAATAAAATATTATTTTAATTTTAATTTTTGGCAATGTTTTCCAACTGGAGATGGTAGAAACAGTAAATGAATAATTGCTGGATGAAGAGGACCAGTGTCTATTAATCCAAAGAGTTCCATACCTATTCTATCTTTCCCTCCTTAACATATTTTCTTTGAAAATAAAACAGATGGGATAAGCAGTGGGAAAACACAATTTGAAAAGTGGAAGATGCCATCATCTGGGCACTCCATACAATTCCATGAACAAAGCCATGCACCTGTATGATGACAATTGCATCTGGAAGCACCTGCAAAGAATTTCCCAGTGATATAGGAAATCGTGGAGGGGGGTGGGGATCTTCTGTAATCAGAAGCAAATAGGGGTACCTTGTACTCCTGATATTGCTGCTTGTTGCTATTCACCATCACTTCAGCATTGTGAACAAGAGATCTTGGTTCTACAAACTCAGTCTTCCTTGATTGAATAGATCCGTCTGTAATGTTGCCTTCTTCTTTTTCTGCTGTCTTCTACCTTCCCCAGCATACCTCCATTTCTATTGAATTACTTGAGAAATAAATCAACAGAAACAGATGATATAGTAATAGAGCTGTTTCAAGCTATCGGTACTCCTGCAGATATTCTTCCTAAAATCGAAGCATCCAGATTTTTATGCAATATAGCACCTCTTAGATCAGTTCCTAGAGCCAATGATGGGTTGGCATAATCTTAGTGCTATCCCTGGTGCTTAAATTGTTTTTTTCTAATGTGATATGATAAAGGAAATTTTTCCTTTGGAATTCCTACCTCTCCTGAAACTGTCATGCTGAGGAATCTATTGGAAACAGTGGTTTGTACTATTGGTTGGTGGTGACTCTTTCTCCAATACTTTCCATGAACTGGTGTAATAACTGGCCCAGATGTCAATAGACAGAGGCAGACATCTCAACAGAACAACACAAGAAAAATTAGATATTTGCAGAAATGATAATATATCCATTACAATCTGTTCACTTTAAGCATTTCCTCTGCAGATTAAACCACTTTGTGGGAATCTGCTCTATTATCCCGGTATGAATCATAATCATCCATGTCTGTAGTTATGGCTAAACTTATGTAAGAACTGCTGCCTTAAATCAGACATAACTACTCCTACCATGTGACATTAATTTGACTTCAGTAGTGTGTTAAACAGTATATTGAGGGCAACAACGATGGGAAGCTTGCGCAGCTAAGTGCACATTAGGCAAAAAACATGGGAGAGAGCAAAAGTAGCCCAATATTTGGCAAAGGTGTTGTGGAGATATATTAGTAAGAATAGATGCAGATAACAAAAAATTAGAAATGGAATTGTCCAGGATGCCTGATGTCTATGTAACTGTAGAGCAGTGGTTCTCAGCTTGTGGGTCTCCAGGTGTTTTGGTCTACTAATCCCAGAAATCCCAGCCAGTTTACCAGCTGTTGGGATTTCTGAGAGTTGAAAGTCAAATCATCTGGGGACCCACAGGTTGAGAACCACTGCTGTAGAGTTAGTGTTGCCATTTTCAGATTGACAACTATAAATGATCCTCTACATCAGGTCTCCCCAAACTAAGGTCTACAGGTCAGATGTGGTCCTCCAAGGTCATTTGCTCGGACCCCATTCTTAACTTTAGACTTAGGGTCGCTGTATGTCTGAAACAAGGGTTGTTGTAAGTTTTTCGAGCTGTACGGCCATGTTCTAGAAGCATTCTCTCCTGATGTTTCTCCTGCATCTATGGCAAACATCCTCAGAGGTTGTGAGGTCTGTTAGAAACTAGGAAAACTGGGTTTATATAACTTTGGGAAGTCCAGGGTGGGAGGAAGAACTCTTGTCTGTTGGAGCTAGGTGTAAATGTTTCAACTGGTCACCTTGAATAGCATTTGATAGCCTGACAGTGTTTTGGTGTGGCCTGTTACTGCCTGGGGGAATCCTTTGCTGAGAAGTGACTGTAGGTATTAGCTGATCCTGATTGTTTCTTGTCTGGAGTTCCCCTGTGTTTGAGTGTTGTTCTTTATTTACTGCTATAATTTTAGAGTTTTTTAATACTGGTAGCCAGATTTTGTCGTTTTCATGGTTTTTCCTTTCTGTTGAAATTGTCCACATGCTTGTGGATTTCAATGGCTCCTCTGTGTAGCCTGGCATGGTAGTTGTTAGAGTGGTCCAGCATTTCTGTGTTCTCAAATAATGTGCTATGTCCAGGTCGGTTCATCAGGTGCTCTGTTATGGCTGACTTCTCTGGCTGAAGATATATAAACACAATTTTCCTAGTTTCCAATAAATCTCACAACCTCTGAGGATGCCTGCCAAAGATGCGGGAGAGAATGCTTCTAGAACATGGCCACACAGCCCGAAAAACCTACAACAACTGATTCCAGCCATAAAAGCCTTCTTAAACAACTTGAAGACACAGAACAACAACAACTCCAATTAACTTGACTATCTCATCATTCAAAAGCAGGGCCACACTTCCCACTGAAATACTGGTAAGTTTATGTTAGTTAAAATTGTTCTTAATTTTAAACATTGTATTGTTTTTTTGTGTTTTTGTTTTGTTTTGTTGTTTTGTTTTTGTTTTGTTTTGTTTTTTTGTTTTTTGCACTACAGATATGTGCTGTGTGCATAGGAATTTGTTTGTTTCTTTTTTCCAGCAATAGTCTGGCCACCCAACAGTCTGAGAGACAGTGAACTAGCCCTCATCTTAAAAAGTTTGAGGATGCCTGTTCTATATGTATATTGGGATGATAATCTTTAAAAATCAACAAGATATTAATTACAAATAAACATGGTTGGAAACAACAGGATAACCAGTCATGTAAACATAAAGAGAAGTGACTGTAGGTGATGAGCATGCTTTTTAACATCATACTGAAAGACTGGCAAGCAGAGAAGCAGCAAACCTGATTTGCTGTTTTGTGTAATTGCGGCTTATTCTGTTGCATTGTTTAATGAAATGCACAGTAAATGTAAATGAGAGGCAAAGGAAAACAGAGGAAACGGCATTGGGGAATTGGACATTGGCAACATTAGAAGTGGAGAAGCAGACTTTTTAAAAGGGGTGAGGAAAGTGTGACCTACAAGCCTTATATATCCTTTGGGAATCCCTAAGTCTTCCTCTTCCACAGATGCAGGGGGGGGGGGGCTGGCCAATTTTCTCGTGATTTTTCTTTTGCTGTCAACCCACCCAAACAAAATCTGGCCAAATTGCAGTGCTATGCTTCCCCTGAGCTGCCAAATCTCCACAGAAATTTAAAAACTCAGTTGCTAATTGGCCAAAGTGATAGCAGGATGTGATGTCACATCACTTTGAGAGCACCAAAATGCACTGATGTGGCCTCCCCAGTGGTTACAGGGTGGAAAAAGGATTCTTCTCTGCACAATTGTCCATTCTTGTTTACAAGAGGTGGAAAAAAGCAACAACAATACAGAGAGGACAGAGAGATCAAGCAGCAAAGAGAAAGGATATGGGTCATTCAGAGGTGGGCTGACCAAAAAAAAATAGTTCATTAAATCAGGGCTATTTTGTAGTCTCTGTAATTAATTTTAAGAAAATAGATGTTGGGGAATAGTTCATCATTCCTCTCCCCTTTAGACACATATGCTCAATTTGAAAGTATTTAAAAGAGAAGTCTTTTAAGGTTGCTTCCACACAGCTGTATAAAATCCACATTGAACTGGATTATATGGCAGCGTGGACCCCGATAACCTAATTCAAAGCACATATTGTGCCTTGATAGTCTGGGCTATATGACAGTGTGGAAGGGCCCTTAGTTATATGGAATAGAACTGAAACTATATACATCCAGTTAAGATGTCATACATGCATGACTGTGCACCTAATTATTAATTTCAAGCCTCTGGTGTATGAAAATGGAAATAGGGATATTATTTCATGTTTTGATTATTATAGAACAAAATTTCATTATGATTTTAAAATGGATTTAATCTGAAAACTAGCAGTCTTATCTTGCTGCAGCTTTTGATATTATTGTAGGATATTGGCAAATGGGTTGGACCAACTTAGCTTCTATTTTATAGATTTATCTTTTGTTTCCTGAATAATTTTGGTGTATGTCTGTGATTCTTTTAACCTTACTCTTTGATTTCCTATGAGTGTGAGAAATAGGATTAAAATAAATTCATGCTGATGTTTTCTTCTTTCCCAAGCTCACAATAAATAATGAGGGAGGGAAGGAAATAACCAGGGACGGGATGGCAGGTTTTATTCTAGTAAGTGTTTAATGTACTAATTTAAAATAAATGGAAATGTTGACTTTTAATTAACAGAGGTTTGATAATACCGTTCCTTCTTTTCAAGATAAGGTTTTAGCTTTTGAAAAACATAACCAAATAACAACTGCAAAAACAAAACAAACTAATAAACTTTCCCGCCTCAGCATGTGAGCAACAGTAATGAGTTTCTGACAATCTACCAAAAAGACAAAACAAAACATAGTAAGAATCTTAAAGCAAATAACATTCCTGTTATCAGTGCATAACTGCACTGAATTGTGAAAATATGAAAGCCAGCATGGTGTAGCGGTTTGAGCAGTGGACTGTGACTCATTCACTGAATTGCCTTGAGAGCCCATGGGCAGATCCCGCTCTCTCAACCTCAAAGGAAAGCAAAGACAATCCTCTGAGCTAATCTCACCAAGAAAACACAGTCCCAGGGTCATCATATGCCAGAAACAAATTGATGGCACACAACAACAATGATAATGAAACCATATAGGGAGTCAAGTGATTTATTTTACTTATTTCTGTCATATAGCACAGTTCAGCTTAGCATTATAAGTAGACAGTGTGGCATAATGGTTTGAGTATTGGACGATCACTACAAATAACAAAGTTTTAATCCCTACTCAGCCATTAAAACCCACTGGATGACCTTGGGAAATCACACACTTTTAACTTAAGAAACCTCAATGATAGATTCATCTCAGGGTCACCATAAGTCAGAAACAACTTGAGGGCACACAACAACAACAAAGTAAAATTTCTACATTTTGTTTCAATCAATAATCTGCTTCCCTTTTAAGAGCAGATGTATCCTGCTTCAGAGTTATCTTTCACTCTCTCACTTCAAGAGAAGTAAAACTCTGTTACACAACAGAGGTAATAAATACTGTAGATCTTCCACCAAGTCAATAACACAGCAGATTTTCCCCAGATATGTTTTGTCTTCATAGTTATAAGGAAATGTCTGGACTTGTTCCAAGCTGATCCATTCTTGTTCTTATCTTGTCTCTTATTCTGATTCAAACCATTTACTCATTCCACTGAGGAAGTGGAGATGAGAATGTTCCTGTATGCTTCTCAAGGAGAAGTCTAAGAAAAAAGGAGCCTAGTGACTTGAGGTCACCCCCCACCCCACATTGTGATCCAACACAACAGGGGTGAGAACTGTATAGTCCTCCATATCATGTGGGAATCCCTCTCTCAGTAGCCCCAGAGACTCCAGAGATCTTCCCTCAGGTTAAAAAAAAAGGATTTTTAAAATCAGAGTTTTCTCACTTTTGAAGCAGTCCTGTGTTCCTCACCCTTGTGAAAGTGGAAGGCCTATATTTTCAAATCAATAAACAAGAGACCAGCTAACTGATAATAAGGGAGTGCCAATCAGCTTCAGTTTCATCCCTTGCCATGTTCTGCCAACTATGTGCCACTACCCTGAAAAGACATACAACTCTTGGGAAACTGCTTGCACAAGGAGGTAAGCACATTTAGCGTGCTTTTTTCAACTGCCAACTTCCCCGAAACTGTAATTTTAATCGGTTCAAGGCTTTTAAACAATGAAACTAATAAAAAATAAGATAGTTAATGAAATGTGTACATACTGTTGGATCTCGCCACAATGTATACTGCAATTATGATAGCCCTTTACATGGGAGTAAAGTATCACCAAAGGTGCTAGAATAAATTTTCCTGAGTAAACATTAGGGTTGTGCAAAATTTTTGTAACTCATCCTATGTTGGATCAAATGCATTAGATTCGTACTTACAATGTGATATCCAACGCACGGGCATTGTCCGCGCCAAAAATTAAGAATGATAACTTGCCTGGGCTACATTGTTCTCTGTGTGCTGTGTGCATAGAGCCAAAAACCTCTATGGTAAATGTGAGCTGTCCTCCAAGTGTGCCCACAACCCCACACCACCCCGTCCCACTCCAGCCAGCCATAGCAGCTAAAAATATTTTTTCTTGACAAAACATTTTTTAAAATCCTCCCAAAATCAGGATATGTGCTAGTCTTTCTGAAACAGGGGGAATAATCCCCTCGTTATGTTGTGTAATTGTGTAGTTTGTCACAGAATGACAGTGACAAACTTCTGATAAACACTTGTTAAGAAGACACCATCATAGCCTTGGGGTCACCAAGGCTATGATGGATGGATGGATGGATGGATGGATGGATGGATGGATGGATGGATGGAAAACACAAAGCAACCAAATATATGGGAAGTCTTAGAAGACCCGTGAAATGCGTCTTTGATCTGTCTACTGCAGTGGTTCTTAACCTGTGGGCAGTGGACCACCAGTGGGCCATGAGGATGAAAATCTGGTCTGCGAGCCTCCTTCCTCTTTATTTATTTTATTTCTGCTCCTTTTGCACTGCCTGCCTCTCCTTTCCTGTCACTGACCGTGGAATATGTTCTTCATTAGATACTAGAGCTGACATGGTCTAGCCAATGCAATTTTCTGAATCAGCACCCTAAACCGAATCTAAAGTTGACCAAAAACTGATTTGTAACCTCTTTGGTACTAATGTTGGAGAGTGGTCCCTAGTCAAGTGATCCCTGGTCAAAAGGTTGGGAACCACTGGTCTGCTGAAAATTTAAGTCCCTGCTGAATTCAGAAAGACAGGCTTTGAGATAAGATTGCAGCAATGACACCTCGAAGTCTGTCCTTCTGAATTAACTGGGGGGCTTACTTAATCCCCCTAAGGCTTTTAAAACAGTAGAAACTTCTTTTTGTTGTGTCAGAAGCGACTTGAGAAACTGTAAGTCGCTTCTGGTGTGAGAGAATTGGCCATCTGCAAGGATGTTGCCCAGGGGACGCCCTGATGTTTTGATGTTTTATCATCCTTGTGGGAAGCTTCTCTCGTGACCCTGCAAGAGAGTAGAAACTGATATAACTAGATTTCACAGTCTTTCAAGTGTATTGAATGTAAATATTGTGGGCCTTTGGTATCTGTTTGGGTTTGGTTCCAGGACCTGTATGGATCCCAAAACTTGCGTATGATAAAGTCCCTTGTATGATGAAGTCCCAGGGGGTTGGACTGGATGGCCCAGGAGGTCTCTTCCAACTCTCTGATTTTATGATTCTATACAAAGACATAATCAAATGGTGTCTCTGGTACAAAATGGCAAAATAAAGGTTTGTGTTTTTTTTTTTTGAGAATATATATGTGTGTGTGTTTGTGTGTACATATATATTTTCATTCAAGCTGTGAATGGTTGCATCTGTGAATACAAAATCTGTGGATTCTAGAGCCAGTACGGTGTAGTAATAGTTTGTCTGGGACTCAGACTTTGGAGACCAGGTTCTGACCCCGACTCAGCCATCGAAACCCACTGGGTGCCCTTGGGCAAGGCAGCCTTTCGCATTCTCAGAGGAAGGCAATCTCTCTTTACGAACCACCGCAGAAGCTAAGATCTTCTGGGTAGGCCCTGCTCTTGGTCCCGCACCATCACAGGCATGTTTGGCGGGGACGAGAGAAAGGGCCTTCTCAGTGATTGCCCCCTGGTTATGGAACTCCCTTCCTGGCAATATTAGATCAGCCCCCTCCCTC